TCTGCTCTGGGGCCTAGCATTCACCGCTCTTGTGAGATCTGAGCCCTCTACACTCCGAACATGGAAGTGGAAAACCACCTGTTTCTACGGAGGAAAAAGGGTCATCCGACGGCCCATTTTCATGAATATCCACTTCCATCCGCTCAGGTGAAGGCTCGGCACAAGCAGCCTTGGCCTGAGTCAGTCCATCCTGCGTGAAATTGGATAGGGAAGCGCAAGCCCCAAAATATCCCCAGTCTCCAAGAACATCAGGAATCTGCAGCTGGATGCAATTCTTGAACCATCTTGGACCTTTGCTGCCCAGGGCTCTCCAAGACATTCCAAGACATTTTTGCTTGTGAGACTTCGACATGGGCCCAAGGCTGCAACGGGACTTCCGCGTTCGAAAGAAGGACAAGAACGTGGCATTGCAGCACATCGAGGAGAGAAGCGCAGACACATGGCGTGCAAGAAATGGTCATTCATGGCCAGGGATGAGCTGCCAATGTCCCAGTTGCCAATGTTTTTTTGACAGTGGGAGCACGAAAACGATGGTCACGGGGTTACACGGGCGGTGCGCGAATGCTGTCGCAATGTGCTGTCGCTTTGTGGTCCGACAGTGACGATCACTCGGTAGCCTGCAGGACCTTCACGGGAAGTTTCAGGACGACTGGTGACATGCTGCGCCATGCTGTGGTAGTGGAGCTGAACTGGTTGGTCTGCCGAGCGGTTTCGGGCGTGCTTTTGGGGTGTACGATGGTGTAGGACAACATGCTATTAATTTGACGGTTCCGTTTCAACAGATAAAATCCAAAACCTCCACCAGAGAAGCACCATGAAACAGCCCACAACATCCCACAACCTCTTTCATTGGGGAGCAAGCGCAGGACATCCAGATGCTCAAGTTTGGCCAAATCGTGGATTTGGATCTCATTGAGCGCTCGGCGCCGAACAAGTACGTCCAGGCGCAACCCGCCTCGCGCATCCTCGCGCCCGATGCGAGTCCATGGGGGCAAAGGTCCCGTCGGGGGCGAGGTCCCTCAAAGAGTTCCTGTATTATATATATATGGAGAGAAAGAGAGAGAATATAATTTCACGAATATACTGCATTATACTGCATATGTTTTTGGGGGGAATTGACCTTCTGAAAAAAA